GACAGACATCGGGGGCTTCAACTCCACTGGTAAAGAGGCAGATGAACTGCGAAAACGCATCCGCTGCATGAAGTTCATCCCCGAACTGCTGGAACGAGAACGCGCTGCAGGCTCCGTGCTGTATCGTCTGTTTTGTGAGTATGCGAAACACTTGAGGGAGCAACAGCCACCTCTGCTGGATTTTGCCGATTTAACTGTTAAGACTCTTAAGCTGTTGGAGCGGCAGGACACACGAGCTGAAATGGGAGCTCTTTGGCCCTACTTGGTTGTCGATGAATTCCAAGACACAAACAGCAACCAGTTCAAGTTCATTTGTCTAATGGCTCTGCAGCGGCCCCCGAACACAGGCACTCACCCTGCAGCTCTTGGGGCCCAGCGTCTCTTCCCCACCAGGCGGCAGCCAGGAGGCGTGACAGTTGTGGGAGATGATGATCAGTCTATCTATAAGTGGAGGGGCACGCACACTGGTGTAGGTTGGGCCCATAGCCATGCTGTCGCGCCTGCGCAACGCGTCTACTCTAGCGAGTTAGTTGACCCGAACCCCAGACAACGCGCAACGCTTTGGAGCCACTCCGTCCACTTTTTTTGTGTATGTGTTCGCGCAGATATTTCATGAGTTCAGGCGCAATTTTCCAGACTACAAGGAATTTTTTCTTGCTTGTAACTACCGTTCTGTACCTTCTGTGGTGCGTCATAGTCTGTCTCTAGTCAGTTTTAATTGGCCATTTCGCATTCGGAAGGCACTGTACTCTGTTTACGAGTCGAGAAAGATGGATCCCAGAAGAAACCTTTGTGCTGAAACCACCGATGATGCTGCAGCTCCTTGTGACGACACTAATTGGGCCTCTACGTCCACTAAGAGTACAAGAAATTTGGAAGGCCAGGTGCACGGCGCTTTCCTCCCGTCTCAAAGCCTGGAGGCACAGTACATCTTACGTTATATTCTGTGTTTGAAACAGCACCACAGCCTACGCTGGGACGACTTCGCTATCCTGTGTCGTACGAACAGCGCCTTAATTGACATCCAGAACCTACTAACAAGCCCCCGGATACAGCGTGCAGCTTGTGCGGCTTCTGCCGTCTTCTCCACAAATGAAGCGCGTGGGGCTGTGGAAGACAGCAAACGTTACGCAGGGATTGGGGACCCGAACAAGCCTGCAGACCCAGCTGTGATGTTTCCTGCTGCAAATCTAGCTGAGTTGGAACTGCCTGCTGGTGGTCTTCCTATTTCTAGCACAAGCTCGAAGAGAGCCGGAGGGGCGGAAATCTTCCTTCGCCCGGATGCAATAGATCTTCTTTGCTACCTTCGCTTGGCAGTAGACCCTCACCATGATCCCTCTTTTATTAGGGTGTTGAATAAGCCACCTCGCCGCATTGGGGCGAAGACTTTGCTGGCTCTGAAACGCATTCAAAACTCCCTGAATGGCTCAATAGCAGGGACAGCAGATATCGCGCGCGCCTTCGTGGAAATGCCTTGGCAAGGTTTGCCCTGGAGAGCACAAAGCGGATTGCAGGACTCCCCCGTGACTGCCTCTCTCTTTGATGCCATGTGTGGTGTTCTGCGAGCCGCTGGGATGGAAGATGAACTGCCTGAAGTCCACCTCACGAACCAAGACGCGGCAGAAGTGGAAGCTGCACGTCTGCGCTCGAACCAGCTAGAGTCTCTCGCGTCATTCGTAAAATCTATTCAAAAGCTCCGTTCAATATCTAAAAGCGCTGATTCCGTGAAGACAATGCTCGAATACACACTTGGGCCGCTAGGGATGGGCGCTTTTTTTGCTCATAAACGGCTTGTGCACCGTTCGCGGAATGCTGCGCAGGCAGCAGGTGAAGGCACCACCGAAGTCCCGGTACAGTCGGACAAGGAAACCCTTCATCCATCGCTTCCCGAAGTTTCTCAAACGAAAAGCCCCACGACAGACTTTGCACGGGCAAAGACGCGTCGAAACAAGAGGAAGGCAGCCTCTGCTCCTGAAATAGAGAGAACTGAAGATTCCATGGGAAAATCTACTGGGGTAGAAGCATCCTTACGAGATCTCTCAAAGCTATACGGATCGGAAACATTTGCAGATGTACTTGGCTTACTGCGAGCAGTCGAGGCGTATGCTCCCAACTGGCAGCAGGTAACAGTCGCAGATTGCATTAAAAGGCTGCTCCGAGATGCGGACTCTGGGCGGTTTGTTCAGCAAAAGGTTACAAATGCAGTAACACTGTCTACAATCCACCAGGCCAAAGGACTGGAGTGGAAGGTCGTCATTGTTGCAAGAGCTAACGACGGGTAAGCTCACTTTAGTACTCTTTCTAACTCAGTGCATTGGACGCCGCTACACAGCCAGCCACAGTTTTCGGAAAGCAAAAGAAGAACTGCATTCACCTTCGTCGGCTGCCGAATGCGTAGCGTTTATCTATTGTAGTAAAGGCGTGCTTTAATGTATAGATGCGCCGTTACATACGAAGATCCCTGCCCTCTTCATGCGATGCAGGACTTTGCCAATGGGCCTTGGTGGCAGCCAGCCGCTAGCGGACTATGTTGCACGTTTGCTCTCGAGCTTCGCTGCGGAGCAACCGAAGCCTGAGGCTCTGCAGCACGCAGAAGCAACGGTTATTAGACAAGCATCGGGAAACGAACAGCATTTCCATCTCATGGAGGAACGCAGGGTTTGCTACGTTGCCCTTACTCGAGCCAGACAATTTTTACTCCTTACAGCTCCCCTTGCAGACAAAACCAACCACCCCTTGAATCCTTCGCGTTTTTTCAAAGAGGCTGGCCTTGTATCAGCGTGGCAGGCGCCTATGCCTCTTGCTGGTGCTAGAGCAAAATCTGACAAAAGCAGCTCGAGCCAGAAAAATGCCATGGAGAGCGGTGAAGGCAGAAATATGCTCGACAGCTTCACATAACGAGCCGACGTACAGGGCAAGAAAAGCTGAACGCGGCTCCATTTTCGTTCGCGTGTCCAGGCGCCTCACTTGACAAACTCAAACAACCTCGCCACATGCTTCCTGTACTCATTTGTATCAGGCAGCGGACGCATGCTCCTGATTAGCCATTGCGAGTACGCTCTGCGTGCAATACTGTATATCTGCCTGTGAGGCTGATGACTACCCCCTAGACTGCTGTTCAAACAGTCGGCGGTCAGTGCAATCATAAATTGGCAGCGAGAGATCTTCATTGACCGCGTTATGGACACGGCACGCCCATAACACTAAATCCTTCTGGGATGCAATTGACGGAGGATTAAACTGAATAATTGGGATGAAGGCGTTTCTGCATATATGGCAGGGGTAGAAGAGCGTGAAGCCCAGTAGCCAGCTCAGCATCGTTCTTTGGACCAGTTTGCTCTGCGCAATAAAAACAGGGCAGAGATACAAGCCAGTTCCCAATGTAACAAGGCAAAAATGGTCCAGATGCTGCCGGTGAGGCGGCGAGCGGCCAGTGCCAGCTCATACGGTTTATCACAAGCATATCGGTGCCGGCATCTGTTTGTTGGATCCTGTTCAGGAATACTCACAGGTTTATCTGGGAATTGGGCTGCCGCTGCATGCAGCACTTTCCATGAAGCCCGGCCCATCTGCTCCCTACTCGGCGGCAGTATCAGACGATGTTCTGGCCGCTTGCCTTGACTCGGCATTTCAGCGCAAGGACAGCCGGCTGGCTTCCTCCGCTCCATTTGCAGTGCAAATGCAAGAGTACTGAATATCCCGAAACGAGTAAATCGGCTTCATTTAGAGTGCTCAAGTCCGTGGTTTGTGAGTGAAACTTGAAGGCTGTACTGACCGCATCGATGCTGTGGCGCAAATTGCCGCCGAATCTGCATCTTGTGGGCAATTTCATCAAAAGCCTGCGAGTTTTTAGTTAAAAATAACGAAGTTGAAGTCCATTCGCTTGACAAAGCCACTAGCAAGCAGATGCGGATCGTTAGTTTAGGGGGCCCACATGCGTGCCAGGTCTCCGACGTCGGCTACAGTTATTGGCTTGCTGTAGTTTCTTGAAATTCCAGATATTCTTCTGTATCGTTCGTACTGTTCTGTGGTGATCAAAACGATTTGTATCCACACGTTGCCTATATTAAGTGCTTGGCACCCAAACACGGCGGGCAAGATATCGACAGGTCCTGGAGAACAGGACAAGGATCTTCCCCATAGAAACGCTGGTAAAAACAACAACGCCCACTGTCTGGAAACTCATGGGGAATCTGGCTTAGTCGTAATATAAACGGCCGTGCCTCGTATCCACGCCAGCGATGTTGCCTTCGTCGGTGTTTAGGTGTTACCCCTGGCGCTCCAGCGACGCAGCACTATGTTTAACACGTTGGACCTCATACCCGTTGAGCAGAGGATGGAAATCAAGGCAGATTGGCAGAGCTCAATCGGCAAATTTCACCCAATTGAGGGCTATGGCTGTCTTGACTGCTCCACAAATTCAGCGGAATGCATGGACTAACGACTTTCTTATCGGCCGTGGGCCAGCTGTCTTGCCCTTCCGGAGATGCAGTTCGACACTCCCAGCGCCGTCGGGTGGTTCTCCACCGCCTGAGCTACAAAATCGCATCCAGGCGCGGCCATCGGGGATTGACACTTCTCTGTCGAAACAACAAGAACAGAAAGCTTTGGGAGCGTCGCCTCTGCGGGTCATAGAACTTGACCTTAACAGCATGGAAATGCAAAGAAAAAAAATCATTCGGAGAAATAATTTTTTTGGAGTCAGTCGGCATCTGAACCAACACTACTTCAGACGCTCACAGGCACATATGCAGCCGCGCAGTCCACTACAGAGAGTCCTGTTAATTGCAGATTTAAAATACATGCATATATATTAAAAGCCCACGAAGTATATCGAACGCTGCTCCTGGCTAATAATGATGAAATGGCGTAAGTAAGCCGTTGTGGGCGTTTCTGACGGGGTGCTGCAGAAACTCTTACTATGTTTTATCGTGGCTGGAGGCGTGCTGATGTACTTGGTGTATGCGGCGGCAGATGTCACTTCGGGCTTCCTTCGTCATATGGACGGTCTGTTGGAGGTGGTGTACGGACTTCTACCTGAGAATTTTCCAGATCCAGAGCTTGCTCATGATATGGTCATGTGGTTAGCTGCCAAGGGATACTTGCCATATGATCTCGAACGGTGAGTTGTGATGCTTATTTAGTTTTTCACCGTATGTATATACACGTAGGACACTGACTAATTAGCTATGCGGCAGGAACTCAGCAGCAGTTGGTTTTCTTGCGTCGCTTGACGAATGTATATCGCTGAGATGACGTTACGGTAGGTAATATGGTTGTGGGTCCGTTGCCGCGCTTCCACTCACGGCAAGCTATGAAATGTCACTTTTATTTGTATGACTGCAATTCCCTCCTATTTGTCAGGTCGTTTTTAGGGTCCACAGTACTTGAAAAGTTTCATGGTGTGGGGTGAACCGTTCGTTCTGCAAAATTTTCACGTGGCGTAACTGCCATGGCATGGAATTCCCTGCGCCTTCATGGTGATGTGTTTCTATGTAGGGATGACCCTGAACTGAGCGTCAACATCAAGGGCCTGACCTTCCACACACCTGTAGGACTAGCTGCAGGGTTTGATAAGAACGCCGAAGCCCCACTGAACTTTTGCAAGTACGCTTGCTACAATCACCATTCGCTAACAGGCCCTGCGCTGTTATGCGTCGCGAGTAGTAGACTACTAGAAGTGATAGACAATTGCCGCGCTCTTATGTCTGGTGGTAGATGAAGGGACATGGTCGCGGCCTCTTTTCTTGGGGTCAGCTTACGCTGTGACAGGTCATCGCCGAGCTAGTCAAATATTCGTGGTTGCAGGATGGGATTTGGTTTTGTGGAAGTTGGAACCATCACTCCGAAACCTCAACTGGGAAATCCGAAGCCCCGCATCTTTCGTCTGGCAAAGGACCATGCAATCATAAATCGTTGTGGTTTCAACAGGTGCGCGACCACTAAGCAAATGCGGCAGCCAATTTTGCAAGAATGAATGACATAGATAACAACTTAGAAAGTAGAACATGCTTGCACTTCGTTGTATTTTGCAGCGCTGGATTGGATGTTGTGGAGCCTCGCCTGGAAAAGGTCTCAAGAGATCGATGGCACGATCGTCTTGAGCGCCATTGCGTTCTTGGAGTTAACATAGGTGAGCAGGGCTGTGGTGGTGACCTTTTCTGTGCCTCAGATGAGATTTGCACCGTGGGCGGTTTGCGCATTGAGAGTTAGTTCCCGTGGCAAGCGCACGGTTCCTTGCTCAGGCAAAAATAAAGACACAGTGAATGCAGAAGATGATATCCGTGAAGGTGTGAAGCGTGTTGGCCGGTTCGCTGACTATTTGGTTATTAATTTGAGCTCCCCCAACACAAAGGGCTTGCGGACGCTTCAGCAACGCGACCACTTAAGGAGCATCATCACTGCTGCTCAAAGCGAACTTGAAAAGCTGGAAGAACGCAGCCGCGCACAGCGTGAACGGGATGGCCACTCAAATCCAAGCGAGGAAGAGGAAGCCGCGTCGTCTGACAGCGTCACGCGCAAAGCCGAACAATTCTTTCCTACCCAGACTGGCAAGCGCCCGCTGTTGTTCGTTAAAATCGCGGTACGAATACTCACGGTAATAAGGAAAGAACTGTCCCGGGTCGAACGGGTTGAACCAATTCACTACATGCGCTTCTGAGGGGGCAACAAATGGCGTACATTGGCGCCGAGGTTAGACGTTTCACACGCCGCATTGGAATTTAACGCAGAATTCTCCGACTGCATGGCAGTCATCGGTTTTCGCTGGCTTTTGATTTGCTCGAATATTTCTCTTTTGTTGGTGCGCACGCTGCGTAACAGCCAGACCTGACGGATGAAGAGAAACGGGACATTGCTGATGTGGTAAGATCAACTCCAGGTCCATAAAGTGCATGGAATTGTTGCCACGGATCAGTCATTTACAGGGCAATTCGGTGCTTCAGTGTGGCCAAAAGCTTGTAAATTCCAGTAACTCACTGCAACTGAGATTAAGAGGATGCATCACGCTTCATTGCATGCCACTTTACCAATTTGGGCAGGCACTGGAGACTGGGCTGGATGGGCTTATTGTAACGAACACCACGGTGAGCATTTTGCTCTCATTGTTTCATGTGCCATGCGGTTTGACGCGCCTTCCTCCATGCCCTTGTTAATAAGTGGGACATTGCCAATTGCTTCCATGATACTTCTGTCAGGCCACGTTTTACCATGCTAGGATGGCTGTGAAGGGCGATTCCTGTTTCTCATTATCGGCCAAGCTGTTTCTGCTGCACCAGATTGTGGTGTCGGTGCTTACAGATCCAACGGCCGGAATCGCTGAGAAGCGAAAGCAAGCACGAAACAGGAGGCCTTAGTGGCCGGCCCTTGAAAGCCATGTCAACCAAGTGCGTCTCCGATATGTACAAGATGACCAATGGTCAAGTCGCTATCATTGCGGTGAGTATCTCTCAAAAGAATGCATCGCTCTCTTCCTAGTCGCCTCTTATATCGGTAGGAGGCGCCCTTTACACGGAGCATACTGCAGCAGGTGTTAGGCTGTGGGTGTTACTTGTCACAGAGTGGAGGTATCGAGACGGGGCTGGATGCGTACAAGCGAATTAGGGCAGGGGCAAGCGCAGTTGAAGTGTACACATCTATGGTATGAAGAAAATCTGCCCTTATTCAAGGTGTGCCACGGAATAGTTATCCTCATTGATATAGGGCATTCGAGTTTCCAGTTGGGCAACTGTTGCATGTCAGATCTACCGTGGCCCTATAGTGGCCCGACGCGTCAAGGATGAGCTCTTGAATATTTTGAACCAAGCAGGCAAGTTTCATTTGCTCTAGTCGTAGCTAGCACTTCCGGTTCCAGTTACACCACTGGTAAACGGCGCTCGCCGAGAGGAAGCTGCAGGGAAACCTTCCTTCGCTGTTCAGTATTGTTTGTCGGAGCTGTTCACAGGCATCTACAATGTACAAGATGCCATCGGACTAGACCACAGGCCGCCGAAGAAAAAACGTGTTCGGAAACCAACTTTTGATTAGATGTAAGGGCATGTGAAATGTTTACATAATTCGGAATACACGAACATGACAGCGATTGCCCCACTTCGTGATTTTGGAATACAAAGCCGACGGTTTGCCGCCAACCGTAGGCCAATCTCTGAGTGTGCCGGTGGAATGTGCTGTCGGTGGATTATGCTGTTAGATTCTGTAGCTTTGAGCTGGCAGATTCACGTTGTTCTACCTTGATTGTGGATATGATGGAGGTCGTGGCCAGGCCTTGATGTTTTCAGGAGGGACATGAAACGAGCTTTTGAATGGACAGCCAAAGGGAGCCCCCACATCTCTGTTGTTCCGGTACACCGTAGTTCGGCAATATGTTTCCCACTAAGTGCCTTGCGAAACGCAAGCAGAACAAACCTCTTTTCCGTTGCAAGGGCTTTTGCTGAGCAGTCTGAGAATTATCCGCGCAGAGGCAGCACCAGAGTTACAGGAAGCACGGAATTGCTAGTATAAAAGCACACTAGCGCAACTGGCGAAGAATAGATAGACTAAGGGATGCACTAGAGGTCGCTGAGTCGGCATTGGCTGATCACACGACAAGTATTGGTGCGCGCTTAGATGCCTACGTGCACAAACAGCTCATCAACCGTCTCCAGCACATTACGGTATTCCTTCTTTGAGGGGGGCTAATAGCCCAGCATATTTCAAATAAGCACGAGCTGAAAATAGCAGGCAGTTTGGTCGGCGGAGAGATTCTTTGGACGCAAGCGAGCTGCCAGCTGCAGCCGCCGTAGCTTCATTTTCCTGTGGAATATGCCGAACAGAAAGGGTTGCGCAAAACAGTCCATTATCTAGATGTGCTTGTGTTTAGTCTAAGGGATAAAATAAAGGCAAGTGGACGCGTACTCCTTTCGTGCTTGTTCATTCTGCGGCAGTCTTCACGTAGTGGGATGGGACTTGCCATGCACTCTGAAGCCTAAGGCTCTGATTGAATAGCTGAACTTAGCTCGCTACACCGGGGACTGAAAATACCACAACTCATTAGCAGCGTTGGGAAAGCTCGTAATGACAGTTTACTCCTTCTACTGAACCATACACGTCTACACGCCTTGCTTTTTTATCTTAGACTAAGTAGAAGCTTCTCAAGGTGATGCATTGTTCTCGGGTACTTTGCAAACTTCGCATGTGACAAATCTTCCTCGAGATAAGTGGTCTAAGTCGTTGAGCGTAAACTTTTACATGTGTAGGGGCTGAGTTCAGGAGAACTGGGGCTATATTCGTCCCCCCCTTTACGCCGGTCTCACGCCAGCGCCATTGAGGTGGTCAGCTGCCTGTTCCATGGTGTCCATTGGGAAACGCATGCTAAAGCCAATGATGCAGCAGTTTCAGTAATTAAAATTTCCCCATCAGCCTAAATTAATTGACGGGAAATGTGGTGTTGTTGATGTATCAGTGTATGGGGTAATTAGCGTGTTCACATGCTGTGGGATCGAAGCTTTTGTCCCACAGACTGAACAGTGAGCGCACGCCCAGGAACCTGTGAACTTCAAAGAAAACGGAGAGACTGGTTGATTTTAACTGCATTTTTTGCAATACTTTTCTCTAAAGAGAAGCGAACAGGCCGTTGTTTCGTGAAAAGGAAGATGAACTGGCATCGTTGGTAGCCTTCCCCTCTTCCCCCCACTGAACCCACGGCAGCAGCTTCTGTCCCACATGCTCGTGCCTTGCCTCCAAGTCCATCTGTGTATTCAGCAAAAAAGTCTCTTCAGACTTTAATTTCCCCAATGTGTTTCTGTATATTGCGGATAGCTCATTCATTTTGGTATACTCTCGAGCTGTCTGCCTGTTTCAAACCTGTCATGCCAAACTCTAGAGAGCGTGCTCAACAGCACGAATGCACATTGATCAGTTGAAGGCGACCAGTGGTCATTCGTAAGATGTGCGGCATTATTATCATTTTTACTGTTGACACAATGCTCGTGTCGGTCGAATTATCCATTCCTGACGCCGAGAGTCACTTCCATTGACCCCCCGAGTACCAGTTCACCAGCGCTCCACCACTTCGTGGGGAGTTATTCCTCCTACAGTCGCACAGAAGGTGCCCTTTCCGTGGCCAAGATTTAGCCAACGTTAGTTATAAGATTTCAAGGGCAGACACCTGGCCTGAAATCTCGGCCGAGGTGAAGGAGAGCCCAGGAAAACTGCCCCACAGAGACCCACGAAAAGCACCGTGGCTCGTCCAGGCAGCCGGGGCATCTAAACAGCCAGTAGACCCGTCTGCATGGCTTTTGCCTTTTGTATTTACAGTGGGACACAGACTGAGAAAGGCAGGTCATTTTTCACCCATGGCGACGGAGAATGCCTAAATGAGGCAGTGTGAAGTTTGCGCTATATCCAGAACCCTAACTCTTAATTCAATCGGAAATAAAAGCAGCCAAAAATGGCAAGGAATCGATGCCATGAGGGCGTTAACCCCTTTATAAAGCCGGAAGACCTGCACTTATGGCTCATATCTCTATCGCTTTTGATGATTCTCACTTCCAGTCTTTCTTTCGCATCTCAACAATTTCGCCTAGGAAACGACCCTCCGTGGGTTGATTTTGGTAAGTCTTTACATTTTGCCGTCACTAGATTTCTTCTGGCTTGCGATTGAGCTTAGGTTACACGAAAGGACAAGTCATATTCAGGCCACTTGCTTGCCGTTGTGCTATTCTTGTTTGATGCAGCAATCCTCGTCAACTGGGGAATTGTTTTTGGCGCTTGCGTCATAATGTGGTCTTTGGCGCGCACAATGGATAATGAGAAGGCGGAGTGGAAACTGCTGTACTTGTCTATGGCTTCCGTGTTGGTGCCTCGGTCTTGTTTTCCACTACGATTCGGCGAATGCGTCATGCATGATATGTGCTTCGCGGGATTCAACTTCTTCATTGACAACCCATCGTGGAAGACACATGTCTGCTGCGGTGTGTCTAGGACCAGAGAGCAGTTTAAACTTCAAGACTCTTCATGCATAGACAATGCAGGGAATCTGCTATTTGCAGGCCATCACTGTACAATTCAGGCATTGAAGTTATGTTCAACAAACTCCAACTGCATATTGCATTTTTTGTGCGTTTGCTGCTTTTGTGCGAAGGCTTTGCGGTGGTAGTAGTAACCATATCTGATTTTGCTTGGGGAACACTACCCCCCTTGTTTGTAGTAGTAAAAGCAGTTTCAGCAGTGGTGACAGTGGGAATCGGGTACATGGGGTACCAAATCGTGCAAGTTTTTCATCGGAATCTTCGAGAAGCAAAACGTCCCACTTTACCGATGAGCTGCTCCTTTACAACTGCTGCGGAGTGCAAAGAAAAGGGGAGGTCTAACGGACTGTCAATTCATCCAAAAAGAGAGACGTCATTCAGTCTTCCCCACAGAGACTGTCGACGCCGAATCCGGATCTTCAACCGAGCGCGCGCCTCCGCAATTAGGAGCAAACACGTATTACTCACAAAATGCAGCGGCATTGCTGTACGTTCAGGTCGCCAACGTCCCCATCTGTGTGCAGTTTCCTCTAATAGGGTCGATGTGCGTCGTTATTGGACGACCCTGGACAACTACGCGTCGTTGTTCTTCCAAGCTGTACAAAGGCGTCTCATTTTGTGTAAAGACGACATGCTACGTTATGTCACCGAAATTGGTATTTTTACTCCTTTTAATCCTAAAAATTGCCCACTTCAGGAAGCTTTTTCTCCGGAGGTTCCTCAATTAAGTGCAAAATGATTTCTCCCTAGCTACTTTAGAGCCAACGTACATTACATGCCTCAGAGACTGCGCTTCTGACTCCCTCATGATATTAGTTCTTCTAAATGAACATGTTCACCTTGCAGTCTTTGTTTTTTGCCGTCAGAAGATTCGGGCGTTTGGAGCAAGGATAAGGAACCCCAGCTGTTTGTTGTGCCAAGTTGCCATTACGGCTATGTTGACTCCAAGTGGTACTTGGACATGAGCTTACCCCGACCGTTTCGGGGCTATTTTTGCCATTCGTTTCGTGCTGGCACTAAGAGCATGCATTTTATGCCTGCGGCACGCGCATCCCCTGAGCAAGCTGTTCCCGATGCGGCTATCGCTTGGACGACTTCAGCGACTCCAACTTACACAGCGTGCATGGGCTTTGATTCAGTCGAAGCTATGAGGAGGTATCGGTCTCTATTCCGTAGCTCAGTATCTGCTGAGCACAGTCACAATGACCAGTGTAACTCATGTGAAAATGGCACACTGGCTTCTGCACACCCGTGCAGGAAAGATAGGCATCAAACTTGCAGGCAGCAGGGCTGCCCTCAACCAGGGGAAAGGAACAGCGGTGCAGCAGAATCCGCTGTAATTAAACTACAGCAAAATCACGACTCTGTCCTTCACAAGGAAGACCAATCAAAAGCAGGAAGAGTGACCGATTTCGTTGGACATGATGATTCCAGCGGCCGTTGTAATGATAGGGTGAGCGCTTTATATCTGTTTTGCGCCTGTCGAACGTCAGTGCACTCTGGATTGCCGTCATGTACATTCAAAGTGAGAAATTCAGCTCAGGCAGAAAAGTTTGCAAACGGCCTTTCCCCCCTCTTGCCCTTGTTGCGCAGATTCATTGCACTCAAAGGACTTGTGGAGATTGCGACTCAAGGTGCTTCCTTAGGTCAAGGCGCCTTGCATGGAAGCTCAACGCGTCAGAACCGACAAAGTGTGCCATGACATTAAATCGGTAAGCCACGGATGGAGATTATTGTCTCTAAAAGCTAAAGGACCTGCGTTATTCTGGTGAACTATGAGTCAGGGTGTTGCTGGCTGAGCTGCAGTCAGTACTTGTTTGCTAGCTTTATGCCAACAAAAACCATGATGGGCAGAACAGAGGCTGTCGGCAAATCTATGCAGAATTCCTGTGATCTCTGTTGTGCCGCAGCCCTTGCCTCCATGCAGAGAGCCAGTGGTGCGGCTGTCTGAAGCACCCTTCAGCTCAAGAGAGCAACAGAAACCCAGAATGCAGAGAGCCGTACGGCGGATTGGGGATCCGAGAGGAGGTACGGCATGGGCCTTTAAGCAGATCATTGAGACGCAGCTGGCGCATTAACGTCTTTTTGGAACCAAGGCAGGTCGCATTTACTTGCGACTTTTGTTTTCGGCCGTTATTTTTTCAGACTGTTATGCCGAGAATGACGCTGGGAAAGTTTGAAGACAGCGCGATTGAACGCTGGTATCTCCTCTGGCGGGCTGAGTGCGTACCTGGCTTCTACAAGGAAATCTCCAACATCAATTTGCTGATCTGTGGCCTACAATGTATATTTGAAGTGCTGAAGGGTTTCGCCGTAGAATGCTTTGGCCTTGCAGTAAGCCACTTCCACGTTGCTTACACGGCTGGATTCGTAATGCGCTAGCTTTGTCTTCTTGCTACTTGTTCAGAGCCATCTCATTGAAGGAATTTGAGTTGCCCAGAGAACACTCGCCGGCTATCGCTCAGCGCAGACATTGTTGGCGCCTTCTCTATAGAGTGTATACTGGGAAAAACACATTAGCCTAGCGTCTTTTGCATTTTGCGGCAGGTCGATAAGAACCATGCCACCACGGACCAATTGGAGTTCCTTGGCCTAGTCATTCAGAAGCCTTCATGGGGGTTGATTTTATCTGCGTTGTGCAAACCTTTGCTGGAGTTCGGAATTCTATCGGCACTCATAATACCTATGAAGTTTATGGAGAGCCGTGGTGCAAGAGATGCATGGAAGTTTCAGCTTCTAGGGCTTGGGCAGGCAGTGACATAGTAAGCATCAGCGTGGTAGAGAACCCCTACGTGCAAACTGTATACAGGGTAAATGCAGAAGTCAAACAACATGAAAGACCGACCATATGAGTTTAATTGTCGCTATGCCGTGAGCTGTTGCTTTTCTTACGCACAGCATGATATTCACGTTTTGCGACTTGTCAAGGAGAAGCTTCACGATCTCTAAAGGGATGCATGTTACCGAAGCAACTAAAATCCCCAAGGGAATGGATGCCAATTTTGTCGTTGGTGGTACGTATAGTTGAAAGCTCAATTGTATTCCTTTTGCAATGAAGGCGAGGATTGCATAAATTTGTGCACTTTCTTGGCGTCACGGTGTCTGTATCTCTCCAGTATTTGTTTTACTCGCGCAGGCCACCTCATACTCCCCATGTTTATCGTAGCCCTCACTGTGCACCTGAGACGCATCCCAGAGGCTACTATCCTCTTCACCTCAGCAACTTCGGCGGTCGTGACGGTAGTAATTCTGTCGATCGTGGGATGGGAGTTCAAAGTTGTAGCATTCCTGATGCTGTCTCGCATTCAGTATTCCCTTTTCGCCATAATGGTGGCGAGGTACGACAGTGTTCCAAAATACTGCGCTAGCTCAACTGATGTTTGCATCCGGTTCACACAGAGGCTGAGCGCATGCGACGGATTTGGATGTGTCTTTGGTGTTTTTTATTGTAGGGCATTTGAAAATGTAAGAAGGAAGCTCTTCTCAACTCAGGTTCTTCCTTTTCTGATGTACTTGTCTACGTTGGCGAACAGCCAGCGAGTAAAAAGCATATGCGCTCTAAGGACAGAACGGCGCCGGTGTGGTTGCCAGCACATTGGAAGGCATTGAGGCAGCCTGTAATGCTGTCCTAACGCAGATTACAGCCCGAGTGTTCCTCAGACACGGTGTTTTTCATGAATGTTCTAATAAACAGGTCTTCGTCCTTTGGTCGAGCTGCCCAAGTGGAATGTGAAGGCGAGACGTTTCCAAGAAGACAAAAGCGGTGTTCATAAAGGGGCAGTATATTCCCCTTAAATTGTGGGACCATCTTTTGTGCACAAAGTGGAACTGTCAAGGTCTACAGTGCAGCCAAAAGTGGTTGTCACTCGTCGTTGGTGGCTACGAAAAGCAGCTGGAAGAGGAATGTGACCGCTGTCACTTCACTGCATGGCTTCAGCAAGTCACGTCCTCTTCACCTCAGATATGTGCATGTAGATTTTATTTACGAACTGCTTGAACCACAACTCGTCAACGAGTCATGTCCCTAGCTTTGTCCGCCTCTGTGTACTTTTTGCGTGCAAATTCATCTACTCCCTGCTTTACTTCATCGTCGTTTTTCTAAAGAGGCTACCAGCTCTCGACAAAATGCCTCTTGAAGTCTTGGTTTTCGGCCTCTCAGTTCTTGGAGCTTCGTCGGATTCACTCGGACGCTCTCTTTGCTGACGGCGGTGTCGTGCTTGTTTGCTCTTTCCGTGGGACTGAGCTGGCTCCTCTGGTGGTGAACCTGGAGACTCAGCTGTCTTTCCCTCCCGATCTCTTGAGGAATGAGTCGAGTTTTGTCGTCCTTCAGGTGTTTTGGATTGGGATCGGCGCCGTCTGCTCTCTGGACTCGCTGACAGCGGGCGGGGCCTCTCTCTTGGCGAATGATCATCCGCTGCTTGGTTCTCGTTTTCAGACAACGAAATGGAGGATTCCTGGCGACGATGACTCCTTTCCTGCTGCCCTCTTCGGCTTAGACGCTCAATATCTTGGGGTCCTCGGTGGCCCTCCCTGTGGCTCAGCTGAGAGTGTCTGTGTGAATCTCTTCGAGATGAAGTACCCTTCGAAGGAGAACGCCGATGCGAGCTTAAGTCTTCCGGTGCCCTTAAGGCATCATGGCGTGCCCTCTCCGCAGCTCGCTGGCGAATATGCGGCAGTTGCGCGAGTGTCCTGTTGATGGCTTCTTTCCATACTACGGCGGGTTTTATGCCTGCAAAAGACATGAATGTACATGACTTACTTTTCTCCCCTCAGGATGGCAACCAAGCTGGCACTTTTGTCTACAGTTAATCTATGTAGAAATATTATGTAGCTGCCTTAGCTAACCTCTTTGCGCAGCATAGGCACTAAGCTTCATGTGAACGCGGTGAATGATAGCTTCGTGCTTGCTTGCAATCATTGGAGGACCGTGGGTACCACTCAGCCGGCCAAGACCAACAACCCAGCTGAGGCAACACATGTAACAACTTCAGGGAAAGCTGTTGAGTCGTGTACGTACACATTTCGGCAACAACAGAACTTCTACTGTGGCCACAACACCAGAAACAGCGAAGTCACCGCACTCCTGTGCGACTTCGTCGGTCTGCGCCCGAAATTCAAAAGTCCTTGTCAATGTCCTGACAGTGAAGCACCTCCACGGAGAGGCAAATGGCTCTGAAGAGGTCTTGGCGCCTTTCCGCACGTACAGACTCCAAAGATATGCAGAGGATGAAGTTCCGTAGTCAATGCCAATAATATCCTTCAGCACACGGCGCCAGAAACAAAGCGGACCTTGCATTCTCTAAAAGCTTCCCCGTTGAGACACCCACACTCAGCCCGCACTATTCCATCACGCACCTTAGCCACGAATTGTTCTGACCTCTTGAAGCCCTTCTTGCCATTTAGATCTTCGGTCCACATGACAATCCCCCGCTTGAACATCTGCAACGCATTCAAAGTCGCCAGCGCTGTGCTTGAGTACGCGCTGCGAACCCTGTGTGGCGGCTTCTGCAGTTAATGCGTACAGATTTAGACCCAGGTGAATGCACGATCAACATAAAATTGTCCTTCGGACCTTCAAATAACGCATTTCAGGTCGGCGGCTGCTTGACTTGCTCAGCATCTCGACAGGAGTTCCAATTCGCATCGTGCGCATTTCTCCAGTAAGCGGTTCCTCTGTCCTCCAGCCATAAGCTGCGGAATTCCTAATTATACGGCGGCTAACAATTTTGGCCCTCTGTGTCTCACGCCTGAGTTTTTGAGTGACAGAAGCCAGCTGTTGTTGCAGTTCTTCAGCCTCTCTCTCCTGGCCTTTCAACTTGGCTTCTAATTTTTCCCTCTGCTTTCCAGCTTTTTCGTACTCTTGCTCAAGTACAGCAACTTCCTGCTGCCTTGCATGGCGGAGGGCATCCATCTGAGCACCCAGCGACAATAAGCTCTAGCTTTGCTTCTGCATGACTGGCAGATGCTGCTTAGGGCGTCGCAGAAGTGTCGCTAACAGAACCTTTGGAAGCAGCGTCCAAACAGCGAGCACCCTGGCTTTGCGTGGTGGCGGTGTTTGGATGGAAGGGGCAAATGGAGCTCGATGCCATATGTCAGCAGTCTTACCTGCTGAGCCAGTTCATTAACTGCTAGCGCATCGGCGGCTCCTTGGTCGAGCTGTGACAGAACTGCAAGGGCTGAACGCTCGGCACTTTCCAAAATCGCTATCGCCTTAGCCCTCCGTTCCTCTACGGAGTCGTGCCAGGCTTGCATATCTTTTTCATTGGCCTCAGCTTCCCCAGAAAGAGCCTCGAACTCCTGTGCCAGTTTCTCGAGCGACTCAAGTTTTTGCTGAACTGTGGAAGCGGAGCTTTTCTGGTCTCTCAGCTGTTGCTGCAACGTATCTATCTCTAACCGTGCGGCAGTCAATGCCTCTCGCGTCTTGTTGTGAGCCTCCTGTTCTCTCTGGAGTAGTGTTACGCCGTCTTTGCCCTTCTCCGTCAGCTCAGCTATCTGCCTATCCTTGAGGGCCACCGACTCATTTAACTGTTTGACTTGTTGCTCCGCTATGTTTGCTCGGTCCCTTTCATTGCGCCTTTGCACCTCCTTTTCCTGTAGTGTAACGACAGAGTTACAAGCACAAGGATAGTCCCTGAAAAGTCCAGCTGTCATTATCTCAATGCTACACAAATATACTTTGGCTTTGAAGTCGAAGGGAAATGGTCTGACGGCAGTTCCTAGTATGAGTGCTCGTGCAAATATTCCTAAACCAGTTGGTGTTAACTTCCTGTCTCTCTCCTACCAGCAACTGGACGCCTTGAGCCTCTACACATCGTCTAGCGTATGCGAGCTCCGCCTCCTTCGTTTGCAGCAGGGCTTCGGCTTTTTGCGCGTTGCTCTGCGCTATTCGCAATCCGTCTTCAAACGAGCTTCGTTTCTCTTCAGCTTCTTGCAGGTAATGAATGAGCTGGGAGTACCTCTGCTGGAGCGTTATTGTTTGTTGGTCCCGTTGTTGTCTGCAGCTCATCTCAGTAAGACGTTTCTTTGTCTCTTCGTCCACTTTGTCTTTCATGTCGACCAAACGCTCCTCTGCTTGCATTCGCTCAGCCATTTGCTTGTCCCTGAGTTCGCCAAAGCAAGCAAAAGGCATCCGTGAGTGGGCAGAAACTTGTATGTGGGCACTAGCTTACTGCACAAGCACGTGCAAGTTCATGCACGATGGCCGTGGAAACTGCTTGTGTGAAAGTTCGTCTGCTCCTGAATTCAACGTCTCACTGTGTCGCTTTCTGGTGTTTAATAGCTTCTACCGCTTCTTCATGCCGTCTCTGGAGCGCCATGTTTTTCAACAAAGCTCGGCCGAGTTCTGTCTTGTACGTGTCACAGAACTCATGTTCTTCTTCAAGCTGGGCTCCCAAATAGACACACTGCTCTTCGTATAGCTTTATTTCAGCTGTTCTGGGGGAGAGCCCTTCCGCTGTCTGACTTCCAGGCAAGACGGTCACAGACGCTACGGCGCTGTTGCCTTCTTCCCCTGTCTTCCTTCTGAGGGCTGCCTGGAGGAGAGCCAGATGTTCCCTCTGTTTCGCAGACTGCTGCTGCAATCGCTTTGTCCGCTGCTCCATCTGCCACACCCTTGTGCTAGGCAGCAGAGCACGCTGTAGCAAACGCGATTCTATGCCATCTCCTCGAGGAGATATGTCTTTCGTTAAAGGCCGGTCTACCTCGTTCCGAGGAAACGTTGAGCCGACATCCGTTAGCACGGGTCGTACAAGCGGAGGTCTGAATCCCTGGGTACACACCGCCCACAAGCACAGTCTCATGCTCTAAGGAACTCCATTTTTACAATGCTCGGGCATGCTCTAGCCTACATATTATATGGATTTTGCAGTGTACTTGGCCACATCATGCGGAGTCTGTAACAAATGGCCTCGATGCCTTGGGGATTGTATGAGCGCCACTATTGCTAAATCCATAAGCTGCACAACAATTTTAATCACTTGCGCCTAAATGTCTCTGAAGTGCCTTTCCCTACAACGGGTTTTTCTCCTTCTGCTCTTGGTTGGCCTTGGGCGCCAAGTCCCCTCGCCCACTGTGCAAGTTTTAAACGTTCCGCTTTCAGTTTCTCCATTTTTGGGGTCAGTGGGTCATCTGTGTATTCATAAATGATGCGATCTGCCATCTGCAGGCAGTTCACCACAAGCGGAGGCAAGCCCAATAGTATGTCCGCAAAGGTCATCTAGAACGTCTAAAGTCCACGGCACGAGGACATGGTGCATCGAGGAGTGATGGATGTGACATTAAATGACGCGTACATTGCAGTTCGGCAGAAAACGACTCGTGCCCACGATTTTAGGTCCAAATTGGTATATTCTTCAAAGCATGAAATAACGTTGCAGCGGGAGGAAATATTTGCTAACCTCTCGACGATTGAAATCCTCTTGGCAAGCGTCTTCATCGAGCCGCTCGTCGACCGCCAGGTCTGCCGCTCTGAGGGTCCGCCTGACGACGACGTGCTCTTTTGGCCGTGGCGGCGAAACTTCAGCTTTCTGAGCTTCGTCGATTTCCCATTTTACTTGTGGCTCTTCTTGTTCTGTTTGCGGACTGCTCTCGCCCTGCTCCACCTCTTCCTC